TCTCTCTCTCTCTTAAAAAAATCAGCATACTGCAAAGATACTGCTACCTTAATGCTTATAGCAGCACAACAGCCAAGTTAGGGAACCAGCCCAGATGCCTGTCAACAGTTGAACCAATAAAGAATCTGTCGTTTATATACACAATGGAGTTCTAGTCAGCCATAGAGAAGAATAAAATCATGGCATTTGATGCTAAATGGATAGAAGTTGAGAACATCATGCTAAATGAAATAAGCCAGACTCAGAAGGTCCAGTGTGGAATGCTTTCTCTCACATGTGGAACCCAGAGCAAGATACAGAAAAAAAAAACTGGGATGGGCAGGTGACAATGGGCAAATGACAATTTTCATTAGCAAAGGCAAATGGTGTTTGAAGATATAAACACTGATATTTTCTTCAAGAGACATAGCTAACACAGAGACATGGAAGCAGATACCTAAGAAATGTATTTCAGATAATTTTAAAAATGAATCAACAAATTAGAAAGAAAACATAAAAAAAGGTTTTATGATGAAAACAGATTTTATACTAAAGCATTTCCCATTGGTAAAATAGCATATAAATCTGAACTTTGTTATATAAAATTTTCTAGAATAATCGTTTCATGCATAAGAAACCTGATCCAAGTGTTATGTGTGTGTGTATATATATATTTTCATATGTCAATACACTTATAAATTTTAGAAATAAAGGTGTATTTGAGATTTTTATTTTTAATGAATTTTGACATTTTAATTTCTTCTGTATATTCATCTTTTTTTAGCTAGGAAAGAAGAACTAGGGATCCAGGCCAAGTCTTCATATTGTTAGCAGAATGATGTTATAGTGGTACTAAGGGCATTTAATATCTTTCATTAGGAAGAGCCAAAAGTTCAGTCCCTAAAGGGATATAATACATGGATCTGCAAATGACGAGGTGACCCAAATTATTTTTTTTGTTCAGCTGTGATCAAAGACACCCAATAAGAGGAGGAAACAATCATTTGGTCTCATGGTACTAGAGATCACAGACCATAGATGACTGACTCCAAGGCTCTGGGCCCAAGGTGTGGCAGAGCATTTGGGGGAGATGGCCTGGTAGGCAATCTGCTCCCCTCATGGCACCCAGGAAGCAGAGAGACTGGGAAGGCAGGACTGGGTCACAGGGAAGATCCCCCTTCCAGTGTGCACCCCAGTAACCTTCCTCCCCCAACCACACTACACTTGCCTCCAGTTACCACCAGAACACTTCATTCAAACTGAATGTACTGATAAAGTTATGTGTCTCACAATGCAATCATTTCACCTTCTGAACGTTCCTGCAAAAACACAAGGGATTTGGGGCCCTAGTTGTGTCCTTTGATTTACAAAGGTCTACCACCAGAACAAGAAGGTGCAAATAAGTGTGGGGGATAAGATGCTTAGATGTTTTTAGAAATGGATTGCTTAGTCATAAGAAATTAGATATTCTGAATTGGACATTGCTACCTTTTGTGCATATATGACTACAAAACCTCTGTAACTATACATTATGCACAACCAGAAGCATGAGAAGTTATACTCCATTTATATATGGTTTGTAGTGCACTCTACTATCATGTATAACTAATATAACTAATTGGAACAAATAAAAAATTTTAAAACATAAAATTATACCAAAAAGTGCAATACACACATATATATATATATATATATATATATATATATATATATATATACGCTCTGGAACAGCAGAGCCATATCTGGGGATATGGCTGTGTGGTCAAGTGCCCCTGAACAGTTCAATCCTCGGTACCCTCCTCCCCAAAACATACATATATATCTTATCTCATGCAATACATATATACACACATATGTGAATAGATATATATATGAATTAAAATAATGATTTGGTAAACTAAATTATGATACACTGTGTTGTATATGGATAATTGATTTAAATATTTTGTTTGAAGAATATTTAACATGCAAAAAATTCACACTATAATAAATGATCTTTTAGTATTCCATAACAAACAACAGCAACAACAACAAAATAGACATTCTGCATTCTGCCATTAGCTTCAAGAACAAATTGATAATGAAGACTATTTCAAAGAAATTTTCCCTTTAAAAGGGGGTGCAGTGTGACCTTTCCCCCACAGGATAATCTTGCTCTCCAGACAATTACGGCCGCCATTCCTCCAGGATACATGTTCACATGGAAAACTGTTGGTCAATGAGGTGAGAACAGAGCATGTCTAATAAGCTAACTCAACTTCAGTGAACATTTTTGGGGTGGACCCAGGAAATCTGGCCACTGTTTTGTCAAACATCCGCACACTGCACTATTCCACAGCCCTTAGCCATACATTTTGCTCTACATCCTAAAACTGGGGACAGTCCCTCGGTCACTCTTCGGAGGGCTGAGGTGGGTGCTAGTCTTTGACATCTGGAATGTCAGCCCAAGAGCAATCCATAGCAGGTATGCAGATGGTGAAGTCCTGGCAGGAACACCAGAGTGCCAAGGCTCCACACAAGGACAGATAGGCATTCCCTAGATGCAGCCTGACAGCAGGAGGGGGCCTGTGACAATGGGAGGCACCAATAAAAACATCACAGAGGAAGAGCAGTGCCTTGTGAGCCTCAGCAAGGCAATTCTTAACCTACAGGCCAAAGTCCTCATCCTCTATGCTGGAGACTTGAGTTTCCTACTCCACTCCTAGGGAAGCCAGCAGCCAGGTTAGCAGCAGATGGCATCATAGCATGAAGTTTCCATTAATGATCCAGACACATCAAACCAAACCATCACAGGGTTTTAGGAAAGAGAACAGGAATGCTTGCTCTAGGAAAAGTGAAAGAATTAATGCCTAGTAAGCAGATGCTTCCTGGAGATGACGCAGGCTTGCTTCAGGTAGGGGTGCAGGCTTCTGGAGAAAAGTCACCTTGATCCAACCCACACATGCACCATGACAGTCCTCAGGCATGCAGGAAGCTCACCATGGTCAGGCAGCCAGATCACCAGGCCACCAGCAAGCACCATCAAGTCAGCTTAGACACAGGAGTGCATGTGTAAAAATCACCATTCCCATGTGATGTAACTGTATACAGTTATGATGAAGATTTTATGGGTTACAATGAAAAAATATAAGAATTGTGCAAAAACTTACTATTTCCATGTTTGTCATAAGATCAGGGGGTTTCTATTAGGTATCCACACAGAACCTGGGTGAATTGGAGTCTCTGCTCATGAACAGAAAGTGACTCGAAGCTGGGATACACCCAGAGACTATTTTAAAGTCATGTTCACCAGGAACCATTTGGGATTATAAATAACATTTAAATTAACTTGGAACATGCAGGAAAGTGTGTAAAAAGATGCAAAAGTGCCCACCAGGAGGAGGATGGTTTGGGTGGCTCTGGACTCAAGGGAGAACCTGGAGGAGCTGGTCTTATGAAGGTGCTGCATTCTCTGCTTGTGCCTGTGCAGGATGAGCACCATGGAGCTGCTGGCCCAGAGCGTGAGCCCCACACACAGGGCATCAGGGAAGGTTAACAATGCTGCATAGAGTGAGTCTGTGGTTATATTAGAATGAACACTAGAACAATATCCAAAATCTCTTAGGTCTGTCATTGTTGTGTTGCTCCATTTTCCAGTCTTGTACTTAAGAATAATAATGTCTACAAGCACGTAAAGGATCCGGCTCAGGTACAGGGAGAAACCAATGGACCTGGGAGTTTTCACTTTAAGCCCTGCCCACCTGGAGTCCCTGGGGCTGATGGTGATGGCCCAGAAGACACTCAGAAGGCACATGGTAACAATGGACACACCCCTGCCCACCCTGTGAAGATAGAATAGTAGTTTGCATACAAAATCACCAAGGGGAAATCCCAAACTGAAAGCTGCCACTGTCTGGGGAACTTCTCTGCACAGGAGAGTTAACAAGCTGGCCACAATCAAGTGCTGAAGAATCAAGTCTGTGTGTCTTACCCTGCACCCAGTGAAGTAAAAGACCAGGTAATGGAGAAGAGGATTTGCCCAGAGCTCCAACCACAGTCTGTGACAGGAAGATGATGCCTACAGCCACATCACTGGCTGCCATCCTGCCAGTTCCCTGCTGTCCCAGCCAGAGGGTCCTGGAGGGAAACAGGAGGCCTGGGCTGCATGTATCATCTCAACCAAAACCCAGCATTTTCCCATTATCCTGACTACCCACTGTGAACATTGCATGGTTTTCTTTTACTGACAGGTTTTAATGAGGTTTGTGTGAATTTATAAAACATAAATTATGCTTAAAACCCTGCTATGAAGGCAACACAAGCCGACCTCTTGAAGCACATGAGGCATGTGCCAAGGTGACTGCCCAATGACCAGCAAAACTTGATCATTCAGAAGGTAAACATCTGTCTAAATTCATGCTCTGATTAGGGGAATAGAGGGAACTTGAGACTGGCTGAGTGGAAAGAGTCAGTAGAGTTAAACACCAAGCCTCCTTAACAGTGGATAGTGGGGTCTTTCAAACCATCCAGTTATGTGTTTAGTTCTGTTTTTCTAAATTCCTATTATCGTCTAACCTGATGGTATTTTGAGCTTTTATTCTAATGTGTTTCCCTTTGCTCATGGAGAATTATGCTACAGGCCAATGTCAATTATGAGAGAACAATGAGACATTTTGTTAATGCAGAGGCTCTGAGGTAACCATAATCCAGCAGGCACCTGTTCCATGCTGAGTTCTGTGTGGGGAGCCAGAGATGGCTCCAAATAACTCACTGTTTGTGTGTTAGAAACACAAGTGCAACAGTGGATGATCCAGGAATTGTTTTCCCATTCCACATTCTAGGCTTTGTGACATAAACCATCAACCCTGTAGAGTAGGGGTGGCGTAATTGCTGATTTCAGAGGACACACTTTGAAATGTGTTAATAAATACCTGAATACAGTACAACTGTTAGCAAAGAATCAATAATGGTGACTGATATTACAATAGGAGCCACATATACACACTGGCACATATTCAGCATGAAGTCTTGTGCATTCAAAATATTGAGAGAGTAGTTTTTTATTAGCTTTCAAACATATACATTCAATAAAACTTATTGTTCAGAGCAGTTTTAGATTGAAATAAAAATTGAGCAGAAGGTGAAGAAGTTTACACTTATCATCACACACTCATACCCTACTCCACAATGAAATTCCTAAACCAGGTGGTGAACTTGATACAAATAGGAGGATATTTTTAAACACCTTAAAAAACATATATCTAATAGGTGGTTTTAGAAACCGATGATTATTATATTCAATATTCTATATAAATTTCTTATCACTTTAAGGGGGAATTCCTAGAGTTACAGAAAAAGTACTGCTCAAACATCTCCATTCAGATCGCCGACTACACAGTGCTGGAGGATTCCTATAAGTTCTACCCATTCTGTACAATAGGCTTGGCGATGCTGTAGGTCCATTTCTAAAATCCAGAAAAATTAGCATAGAATTCCTATAAGGGAGAATAAGCAGCTTCAATGATTTTAAGTCAACACACTCATGCACCTTGGGAAATGGTGGAGTCCAGTTCAGCAGCCACAAGTGGGGATGACCACTGTACCTTCAACTAGGAGCCACCAGGGACAGCTGCAGGGTCCAGGACCACAGTTTCTTCCATGCCTGAGTCTATTCCTCTGCTTCCTGTGTGGCTCTAGCATTCAACCAGGCCCAACGGAGAATCCCAGGTTCTGATGGGGTCACTTCCCCAGACTCCTGAGTTGGGTCTTCCCTCACAGATGCAGCTCAGAGACTGACGTTAAATTGCTCACCAGGCTCTCTCTATTTGCCAGGATGGTGACCTCAGTGCTGAGGCCTCTGTGACCAACACAATTGCTGCAGGGAGGGGGCCAGCTCCTGAGTTGTGGTTCTCTGACTCTGTCCTCACCTCCCCGTGGACCTGCAGTTACCACTGTGCCTGTAGCAGCGATGGGTGTGCAGGCTGGGGAGCTGAGGACACTTTTCAACAACAATTATGTTTCCTGTTGGCATCTCTTAAGTGGATCCTGGAGTGATGGGAGGTGCTCCTGCTTATTTATGTCCCTTGGAGGCAACAGTTACATGCAGGGGAAGAGTAAATACTGTGGACTGACGTGAGCAATAGGAAGCCCCACTGTATTCCTTGTTTCCCAAATCTAGTTGTTTCCTCTTCCTCATTTACCCAAGTGGAACCTTCATTTTACCTATTAATAGATAAATTGAATGAGACAAACTACATATTGAATGAGTCACTTGAGTTTCCATTGTATACCTTAATGTGGGAAGCCACCCTGAGTGACTTGAGCATCTTCACTTGTCCTTGAGCCAAGGAGATTTAGGTTTGACATTGCAATTTGTCTTGTGTCTCCTCCTGCTTGATGGAATCACAATGCACAGACCTGTCTTTGCAGCTCCAGAGTTCAGCATAACCAACTGATAGAAATTGGACAGCCCCCCTCCTATCTTATCTGGCAAAGGAACATTCCATGGGAAAACCTTCGAAGCTTCCCCCATATAAATAAAGCAAGCAGGCTCTCGCTCTCTTTCCAGTGCGGCAGCTCAAGCCCTAAGGTGGAAGAGAAGTCCCATCCCCACTTTCTAAAATTACTTCCTGTGTCCTGTGGTTTCTTCATTGTTTTCTTTTTCTTAGCTTTATTTTGCTGCCAGCTCCCTCCACACAGAGGAACTCCGATTCTACCTCCTGTGCAGGACGTGGGTGAGACCCTAATAGGCATTTGGACCCTCAGCTGGCTAGATGTGGGATCAACATGAGCATCATGCAGGCGAACAGCTCTGGTTGTCCTCATCCTGATGAAGAGCACCCTGTTGATAATAACCATAATTCATATTTTTGCAGCCAGATTCAATGGATTAGTTTCCAGTCCTTCAAAGTCAGTTTCATCATTGTTTGGCCACATCGTGGATTCCTGAACATTATCCAGAAGCAAATACAGTGAAAGAAATGAGTGGTGGATTTGTTGGTGGACAATTCTTCATGCATTGATCACGTGTTTGCATTTTATGGAGAGCTTTTCAGGACTATCTTTAGTTTGCTGATTGTAGAGAAAAAAAACTGGAGTTTGGGGCTATGCATTGTCAATTTTTTTGTAATAGAATTATTTTCTACAAATAGAAATATAGGTAACACCCTCCTGTGGGGAAATTAGTGAGGCAGCTTTGTTAGCAGCTGTCTTCCAAAGGTCTGTTTCTCTATGTGTGGGGATCCTCAGGAGTGATGTAAATTCCTTTCCTGGGCAGCATCCATCTGGGACACTCCACACACCTAGACTGCAAGTGTCAGTGAAAAGGGAAACTGGGGGAACACATTCCTCATGCTGCCTGCTGTGCCTTAAAAACGTGCTTTCTTCTGGAGGCATGTTATGTCTTCTGCCAGGATCTACACAAGAGTTGTAGAATAACCTCAGACTTTCACACTCCAGGAAAGTAACTGCAATGGAGATAAAAGACAAGCAGAAAAATCCTTAACTATTTTACTCACATTTTTTCATTTGTTACTCTCCAAATCATATGTAGTTAGGCTAGGTTATACACAAGGAGAACCAAGTAGTCACAGTAGACTACTTCATAGAACATAAGTTGACAGTAGGGATATGGAAAATATCACAGTGGAAACAATTGGTGGGCTCTGCCTAGGGCAAGTGGGTGATACAAGAGTTCTAATGGGCACAGAATCCTAGAGGGTCTTTGGAGATAAAAATTCTTATAATACAGAGATATGCACTTGTTTTCCTTTCACTGACCTGGTAACTGGTATTTCTTCTTTTTAAATTTTGTTTTTGTAGTTTTATTTGTTCTAAGTAGTTATACATGACAGAAAAATCCATTTCAATTCATGGTACACAAGTGGAACACAACTTTTCATTACTCTGGTTGTGCAAGATGTGAAGTCATAGCATTCATGCAATCTTATATGTGCTGATGTCCACCTCATTCCACCATCTTTCCCACCCCTATGCCCCCTTCACTTCCCTTACTTCCCTTTGCCCAATCCAAAGTTTATCCATTCTTCCCTTTCCTTCCCCAATTATGGATCAGCATCCACTTATCAGAGAAAATATTTACTGCCATGGTACTTCTATCCCATCACTCATAGAGACATGGACAATCATTCTGTGAATGTGGGTTCATTGAAAAATATTTGAGAGACCTGGAAGTTTACGTCTTGGGATATGTAAGAAAGTCTGCCTTTATGGGAAAGGTCGAGGTGGGTACAGAATAAATATAGAATAAACTAGATAGATAGGTATTAGCATAAAGTCCTGGCAAAACTTCAGCATTTCAAGCCTATCAAAGTGATATGGTAAGATCAAGACCTTCAAGGGGGTGAACTACACCCAGCAAGTAGCTGGCACATTCGTGGAATAACAATTACTTTTGAAAAGTATATGTTTTATATGATTAGAGAATGGAGATGAAATAAAGACAAAACCCCATGAAGACTGGGTAGGTGGAGCTGCCCTGTAGGTTGGAATCCGATGCACTGAAAGGGAGACTGCCATGCACTAGTCCTTCCTTGTGCAGGGGTGTGGTCCACTATCCCCGATGCCTTCCTGAGTCCACACATACTGTGGAAACCTACACACATTCTTTTCCTATACATACACACATACAAATAATAAAGTTCAGGCTATAAATTTGGGATGGGAAGACATTAATTATAGTAACTTTGCAATGAAGTTGATAACAGTTATAAAAATATATGCTAATAAAAACGAGGTGAAAGTGCGCTGGTCTCTGGAATTCTCCATTTAGCCTGAAATTGACAAAGTTACCTGACCATGTAAGAGGTCACTGCATATTTTTTATGTTGTTTTCACCTAGTTTTCCAGAAGCCATGTCATTTCATTTCTAGAGAAGCCCATTAAGTCCACACTAGGCGCACAAGAGAGATTTCTAAGACAGCTTCATCCATTCCCATCTCCTCAGCTCCAAGGCTGCCCTAAAGGCAACCGCTGTGCAGCTATAGCACAGTGAAAATCAGCACCCTAGCAGAGACTGGAAGGCCTTGCCACACCCCGAAAGCCACATCACTGGGAATTTTCACACTGTCACCTGTATGACAGCTTGCTGATACTTGTTTTTCATAATGTGAGATGAATAGGAAGTTGATAATCGTGTGAACACTCCAAATCATGGAGATTTGTCATCAGTCACCAGCAGCAACTGTTCAAAAGCAAAGCATGAAGGAGTGACAGTGTGTGCCTGCATGATTTATGACAGAGGAGGGCACAGGGAAAGAGGGACCATAGGCACACGATGGCGGTGCAGAGAGCCTGAAGTAGGGGGCATGCAGTGAAGAGGAAAGGGGCATGCAGATGGACAAAGGTAACAAGAGTACATGTTGTTCAGGGAGTAAAGTCAATAACAGGGTTAAGACTACAAAGGGAGATCATGTGCAAGGAAGATAAGGGTATAAACATATTGGGTTCTGGGATTTCAGAGTGTCACAGGAACTCATTTTTCTCGTGGGAAACACGATGAAAGCATTGCTGTGGGAAAAGGAGGATACAGATGGAGGAGGCTGACCTTGGGGGATAATGGATCTAGGCAGATACACAGTGTGAGTAAAGGAAGTGGAGCCTTGGGAAGAAAACAGACATAGAGAGGTAGGGAAATGTGCACAGGAAAGTGTGGGGAGTTGGGAGGACCATGGGCATAAATGGGTTAAACATGGGAGAAAAGGACAGGGACAGCATGGTAGCTAATGGGTCAAGGACACAAATGCAGTTTACAGGGGACTGAAAATGCTAGAACATTGAGAACTGTAGAGATTGAGGGTGTTGGGCTCAGTGGACAGAGGAAATGGGCTGAGATGTTGGATATAGGAGTAGAGACAGGGAAAAGAAGACACAGGTGAATGTCGTATGCAGGAGCAAATAAAGTTGAGGTGGGTGGTCCTTGGAATGTTGGGGCCCATAATGTTGGAACACACTATGAATTAGAATGGCTGTGTGGAAGTGAGAGATGATATAGGTTTGCTGGATCTAAGGTGACAGTAGTGGAGAGATGCTCATTTAGCAGGAAACATTGAGGGACCAAGAACCTCAGAGGTCTCCTGACTCATTTTCTGACCCTGAGCATAGTCTGTAGCACATGGTGCTCTCTGCACCTGCAGGGGACACCTTGGCATGGCACCAGCTGCTCCAACAGTACCCAGCTGAGGCTCAAGTGCAGAGGAGGAGAAGCAGCCAAGAGCAGATTGTCCACATGCCAGATGATGGTTCAGGCCTTTGGGATTCTCTGGGCTGTGCTGTAGTTGGAAGCGACATTTTTAAATAATACAAGGTCAAATCTCCCTTCTAGGCCATTCAGAAGGACTCTCTGGCTGAGAAGGTCTTTTCCCTTATGCCTAATTGCCTCTTTTCTTATGCTCCTTTGCCATTTTTTAATCTCTTTGGGTGAAATTGTTCAGATCTTTTGCCAATTTTTACCTGGGTTTGTTTCCTTGAGTTTTAAGATGTCTTTGTAATGAGTCTTGTATAAAAGCCCTTTATCAGATATGTATTTTGCAAATATTTTCTCCCAGTCTGTGGTGTGTCTTTGTCTTAAGACTGTATTTCACGAAAATCATATTTAATTTAAACAAAGTTCAACTGACCTTTTTTTTTTAATGGACCATGCTTTGTTTTTGTTTTTACTTACAAACTCATCAATAAAACAAAAGTCATCAGATTTTTCTCCTACATCATCTAGACTTTTTACAAGTTTTTTTTTTCATGTTAAACTATATGGGGCATTTGGAGTTAATTTTGTGAAAGGTGTAACTAATAATGGTCCAAGTATCCATCAGTAAGGAAATGAAATGAACTCTTGCATATTCTTTCATACATTGCAATAACACTCAGCCGCATAAAAGAATCAGTGCTCGTACATGACCTCAACTGATGAATCAAAACAGTACACTGAATATAGAAGCTGTGGCAGACTGACTCATGACCCCAAACACATCCACATTCTAATGCCCAGAACCTGTGAACATATTACCTAACACAAAAGGGACTCCAAAGGGCCTTTGTCCCTGAGGTATCTAATTTTGCCCTTATAGGTGCCCCATCCATTATTGACCCCACATTTCCTCCATCTATGACCTATACATTTTCCCAGTTAGCAATTTCACAAACTCTCAGAATGTTAACAACTCAAATTCACCTTTATCCCCCCCACCCCCTTCTATAACTCTCAAGACCCACTTCACTGAGGCCCACAGGCCCAGGCCCTCATCTTGAGACAGGAAAATAAAATGGGCCCTTGAGGAGAGTTTCTTAGTAAATAGAGACTTCTGAAAAACAGTCCCATTGTTTGTTTGTTCAGTTATTCAGAAAATTCAGTTATGCTTATCAAAGATTAGACAGTAATTGAAATATCATCAACCTGAGAAAAGTACACAATGTGCCAGCAAATTATGAATGGTTAGACTACTTGACAAAGGAACATTCTGGCCTACAAGCATAGGGTGGTCACCATGCAATCTTATTGTCAGGCAACTCAATCTTCAGGGTGGCTTGTAAACACTATCTGAATCAGCAAAACCTCTCAATAGATCCTCTACTTAGAGTCCCGGCCAACCTCAGATCTCATGTACAGAGCTCAAAGCTGGGCACCTCACTCATCTTTTGAGACAAAGGGCTGCCCATATTTCAAGTGTAAATTCTGTGGATGTCCTTAAATAAATCCTTACCTGCTTTCTGAAGCATCCTTCAATTCTGCAAAAAAATGTTCATAACCTAGAGGGTTTCCATTTAGTATTCCCATCACAGGGCTTCTCTGGACCACTCTGGTAAGGATCACTGATGCTCACAGACCCCTTGCAGTTCAGCTGGTGCCAAGCACCTTGCAAAACCAGCAGGCTTTCTAGTACCACTTCCCCAGGTTTTCCCTGGCACAGCACCTTTGAATTGGAAGTTGTGCTGGATGTTTCATGAGATAAAGAACCTCTGTGAGGAGTTATGACCACACCTGTGGAGCATCCATCTTTTAAGCTAAAATAAAGGTGGAATCTTCCATTGGATATTTCAACTCTGCCATCTCCATCACCCCAGGTGCCAGGAGTAACTTAAATGAAAACCACCTCCTACCAGTAGCACAACTCCTTCTTCACACCCACAGCCAGGTGATCATTAGCCTTCCCACATCCCTCCTTGCACAGAAGCAGACCCCATTATGGGAGGAGTTGGCATCCCAATCCAAAACTTCTAGCCTGCAGAGCATCAGGGCTGGTTTGACAGCAGAGTTTTGAGATGAAACTCAAGACCTGAGTTGAAACAGAGCTTGACCTATGTGGGGACAGGTGCATGGAGTACTGCATACATGGCATACGTTAAGGGTGTCTGAGTGGCAGGCCACTCCCCTTGTGCTAGGCGCATCAGCGGCAGACCACTTACCCAGTAGGCACAGCCCTGGGCGTGAGGCCATGTGTTGCAGTCCCTGTGCTTGCTCATCAACCCTCTCCTCCATTGGTTGCTGCAAGCCCAGTTAGCAGAAATTGCCTTGGCGGCTGCCTGTAATCTCCTTAGCTACTGCCTGAGTATATATACATGATGACTGTGCAATAAACTCAGACCTGCTTCCTGCTTGGTCTCCAGAGGTCTTGATTAGTAACTCCTCAGCCACACTCTCCTCTACCCTGTTCTGTGGATCTCCTCACTGGGCAAGAGAGAGCCCATGCTGACCTACATTCCTCCATCATGGAGGAAGGGCCTTAAGGAAGCCTCACTCCAGTGAGCCTGTTGTCCATGCCTTTAGACATATGGCCAGGCTTTTTTGGGGTGGGGGTAATAATTAGGGATTGAACCCAGAGTGGCTTAACCACTGAGCTATAACAACAGCCCCTTTTAATATTTTGTTTTTTAGATAGAGTCTCACTAAATTGCCTAGGGCCTTGCTAAATTTGGCTAAGGCCAAGCCAGGGGGATTAGAGGCATGCACCAGCACACCAGGTACTTTCAACTGGCTTAGAGAATTTTAAAAAGGCCCACAAGTGCCCGGTATTTTTTATAGATGTTTTTCAAAAGACCAACAGGTGCTCATTATGTTTGATAAGATTTTCTATTTCTAAAAGGGTGAACAGGTGCCTGGTATTTTTGATCAGAAGGTTTTCTTTAAAAAAAAAAGGATCACAGAAATCCTGCAAAAAAAATTACTGTTGGACCATTTCACTTACCCAAAATGCATGTTTTAAATGGGAGTTTTGAGATAGAACTCAGTTGTCTGCTTTCACTAGCAGGTAAAACAGGAGTTTTTGTTTCCCTGGGTCTTAGGGTATGGTACTGGTCTCTGCAACCATGCGATGTGTTACATCTCCTAATGGTGGGGTAGGCCCTCAGTATTCAGCAGACCCCAGCAGATCATCAACTTCTTCTTCCTGGATTCTTCTCTCATAAATTCACCAAAGACCCACAGATATAAGTAGAAACGCAGGGCTCCTTCCAGTGCTTGTACCAAGTAGAACTTCCAAAATAGGAGAAACTTGCAACCGTTGCCACTTCACTGTGGGAGTCTAAGACTTCATACAGCACTTGGGTCAATGCTATTGGTTCAGATTTGTGCTAATCAGGGTTTGAAAATGGACTAATTGTATTGGTCCACGCTTATGCTAACTAGGGTTTGGAAAAGTGCTCATGCTATAAGCGCGGAGTGGCACTAGGGTCTGCCTTCTTCCATTTTCTCTGGGCCTCTCAGAAAGCTAGAGGTTGAGGTCAACCAATTGGCACGCTTGATGAGGGTCGAGGTCTGGAGCAGGTGTCCCTGTAAAAGGTCAGCGGCCTTGGTTCCCAGGTCGTGGTCCAATGATTCAGGTCCCTACGGCTTGCACTGGCGGCAAGGGCAGGGGTAGCTTTCCACCTGTGCTCGAGCCCGCCTGAACACCTCCAACCACCAACACTCTGCTGCAACTTGTTAGCAGGGAGCAGTGGGCAGGTTTCATGTTTGGGCCACAGAGCCATGTCAGTTTGTATTGTTCTGTATTGATGCCATGCTCGCTGTGCTGGCCTGCAGCCCCCAGGGTTCCAGCCCCTGGGATGCAGGACTGCAGGCAGCGCTGAGGCCAGGAACATTTCTCCCTGAAGAAATACATAGAGGACAGTGTAGAGTTATCTGAGGAATCCATACCTTGGGAACAGCCTTGATTGGAGAGATAGATTTGGAAAACTGTAGTAAATAAACTACACATGGACTCAAAGAAGTTGAAGACACAGGGCCAGGAGGTAGCCATTCTACATTTAGAGTTTGGAAACTAGAAAAAGTTCCCTGGAGGAAACCACATTGCTCATCCTAACAGGGGACAGGAGACACTGGTGACTGGAAGAAGCAGCCTAGGGACATGTCAGACCCTTCCATACTCGCCCTATCCCTGGACAGCTCCTGGGTGCTGACCCTGTTCCTAAAACTCAACTCTCTCTTGACACCACCTTCAACCAGCTTTCTCAAAGTGCTGTCTCACAGTCACAGGAAACTTCCTCTGGGTGACACCCTGCCCCCTGGCTCAGCTGCATCACCCTAATCTATTCCTATGGCAGTGGTGGTCCTCAGAGAACATCATGACAGGGTGGTGCACCAAGCTGCACTAACAGGATCTGCTGCCCCTCTTCATGCTGCTCCTGGACAGGGAGAGTCTTCCCACTTCAGCTCCCTGAGCCCTCAACCTGCCACTAACTGCATTATCCCACAATTCTTCACGGATGTCAGCTGGCTTGGATCAAGGTCTGAATGGGCCTCCTCTTTCTGAATCATGATCATGGCATCTTTACATCAACTTGCCTGGGAACAGGACAGAAGAATTCTTAGATGAAAAGGGAAGCTAGGAAAAATGTAGAACAAGAAGCCTGAGTTCTACAACTCCACCATAATCAGAAGCATACAGTCTGCCACAGTCAGCCTGGGAATCAATGTTAAACTGCCCTGAAAATGTCCCCACAGTCCCACTGCCAGCAGACACCAGAGAACTCCCAGCCTGACCTCTTTTGCTCTCTCAGTCCACTTATCTAAGTTACCCTCTAGTCTCTTTTTCTTTTTCTTTTATTTTGTGGTCCTGAGGAGGGAACACAAGGAGTTCTTCTACTGAGATACATCCCTGGACGTTTTTTTCTGTTTTTTTTTTTTTTTTTTTTTTTTTTTTTTTTGAGATGGAGTATCACTAAGTTGTGCAGGCTGGCCTCCAACTTGGGATGCTCCTTCCTCAGCCTCCTGAATAGCTGGGACTACAGACCTGTGCCACCATGTCTGGCTTCACCTAACTTCTATCTGCTCTATGCACTTTTTTTGTGTGGCTTTCCTTTTTCCTTGGGTAGATTTCTTCAGTAGAAAATTCCTTTTTCAGGCCTGGCTTTCCCTGAACAACTTGGGCATGATTAAACACAGCAGGGAACTGAAGTCTGCCAAAATACAGCAGAAAAAGTCACCTTGAAGTCTACTCTAGGAACAAAAAGAAACTAAATAATATGCCATTGACCAACAGATAACAGAAGAAATCAGGGATGAAATAAGAAAATACTTCAACATAAATGAAAATAGTGACACAACATATCAAAATCTCTGTGGCACTATGAAAGTAATGCTAAGAGGAAAGTGGATTGCATTGAGGTCATTCATTAAAAGAACACAAAGTTAACAAATAAATAACCCAATAATTCATCTCAAAGACTTAGAAAAAGAAGGTCAAATCAACACCAAAAACAAAGAACACAGGAAATTATTAAAATCAAAGCTGAAATCAATGACATTGAAACAAACAAATAAAAATCCAAAAAATGAACAAAACAAAAGTTGGTTCTTGGAGAAAATAAAGTCAATAAACGCTTAACCAAACTAATGAAGATACAGAGAAAAACTCAAATTACTGAAATTTGTGATGATAGAGGAAATATCACAATATACACTAACATAAAGATGAAAATACGGAGCTATTTAGAAAATTTATATTCTAAGAAATTATACAATCTTGAAGACATCAACAAATTTCTAGAAAAATATGGCCCTACCCAAACTGAGTCAGGAGAACACGGAAAATGTAAACACATCAATTTCAAGCAATGAAATAGAAGAAGCCATCTAAAGCCTACCAAAAAGGAAAGCCCAACACTAGACGGATTCTCAGATGAGTTCTACCAGATCTTCAGAGACGAATGAACAACTCTTCCTCAAATGGTTGATGAAAGAGAAAAGGAAGGAACACTTCCAAACTCACTCTCTGAAGCTAGTCTCACCTGATACCAAGACCAGACAAAGATACCTCAAAGAGAGAAAACGTCAGACCAATATCCCTGAGGAACTTAGATGTTATTGTTATATTGAACTCAGGAGCTCTCACTGAGCCACATCCCCAGCCCTATTTTGTATTTTATTTAAAGACAGGGTCTCACTGAGTTGCTCAGTGCCTCACTACTGCTGAGTCTGGATTTCAACTTACAACCCTACTTCCTCAGCATCCTGACCCTTGGGCTGTGCTCCAGGCTGTGATCAGTCACCCCGTGGTGGAGACTGTCTGTCCTGCCTTTTCTGTTAATGGGCTCAACATTTCCAGGAACATGCTGAACCTAGGGTCTGCCCCACTAGACATGAGATAGGTAAACTAGCCCTACTATGGGAATGTAGGGTCTCGGGATCCTACAATGTTGAATTCAGGATCCTCCTTCCTCAGCATCCTGAGCCACTGAGATTATAAGTGAATGCCAGCTAGCCAAAATTCTTAATAAAGTACTAGAAAAGCACATACAAAAACATATTTAAAAGATAGTGTACCATGATCAAGGTGGGGTTTGTCCCAGGGTTGCAAGTTTAATTCATCATATGGAGATCAATAAATGTAATTCATCAAGTCATATATGACTGCATGACTGATGGGATTCTACACTGTGTCCAATCAGAAAAATGAGAAATCATACCATTTATGTATTGTTGCAAATAACACTCACAGGTCAGCATGAGCAAGAAAGAAGAAACAGAAGAAACTGAAGCAGCAGAAGAAACAAAGCCCCTTTATTGCATACAGCAGTCTTTTTATAGTATCGTGAACAAAGGAGGCAGCCTTCCAACAGCAATAAATCAGGTCTTTCAGCTAGTTAAACATAGCATACAGAAGTCTTACTTCCTAATCAGAAGTGACCCGCTTCTCATGGATTAATCTACTCTTGGCAGGGAGCATACTGAGCTCTGCTCTTTGTTAAGAACAGATAAAAGATTTCTCAGCACCCTCCTAGCCCACTTGGCAGAACATCCCCGTTTGTGAGCAAGTCCTCACAAGGACAGCAGATACCTTGTTTTCAAGCTCTCCGCAGTTACCTTATCTAAACCTTGAAGGAGCCTCTTGTTTGCGAGCAAACCCCAACAAAGACAACAAACATCTCGTGTGTAAGTATGCTTGCTGTCACCTTATCTAGACCTTGACAGGACATCCCCTTTGCAGGCAGACTCCATCAAGGACAGTAAGCATTACGTTTTCAAGCTCCCAGTCACTTCTGATTCTCTACATGTATGATATATCGAAGTGCATAAAGAATTCTCCCATCATGTATAACTAACTAAAGCAATTTTAAAAATAACTATAGAAATGGCAGAAAAATAGGTTAGAGGGAGCAGGGGTAGAAAGAGGACAAGGGACAAAGAGGTACTGGGGACTGAATTAGAACAAGATATGGGCCATGGCTTGATAATTAGGTCAAAATGGATTCCTTGTCATGTATAACTAAAAAGAACCAATTGAAAAGAATTCCAAGGAAATTTATGAAAACAGATAATTAGCATATAAAACAGGGCTGGAGAGGGGTCTATGGAGCCATGATGGACATGCCACAAGGGGCAGTATGTACCTGATTTAAGCAAAAGCCAGAGAGACACTTTTGGCTGAGCACTTGAACCCCAAAATAAAACTCCTTGCCACAACCCTGTCACGCATTATGAGAAAGGAAAAAGTGATCATCTGGAAATCTGCAGCATTTCAACCTATGCATCTGTGGACCCAGCAGGAGGCTGCACATTCAAGGTGGGTTGGACAAGGGTGTGCTTGGCACAGAGGAGAGTCTTCCCCTAAGGGCTATCAGCCTGCACCAATGGCTGGGGTCACTAGTTTCTCCTGAGGATTTGGTTCCATCCTTACCATTTCCTCTGGAGGTCTGACCCCAGAGCTGCCTGTTAGTGAGGCTGAGAATCATCAGGCAACCTGGTCTGGTGCCTGAGTTTTGGAGAACAGGGGTGATTAGAGATTCCTTATTCCATCCTGATCCTCTGAGGAAAGTACATCTCTTCCTGCTTTCTGAAAACACCTGGAACCAGGAAGCCTAGGCAGAAAAATACAAAGATGGTGCCTTTCCCACCAAAACTGAGAAAATATATATATTAGGGGAAGAAATACTGCAAAAATATTTTAGTACCTTTGAAAGGCTGAGCAGGGCTGGGGTTATGGCTCAGTGGTAGAGTGCTCACCTAGCACATGTGAGGTCCTGGGTTCGACCCTCAGCACCACTTATATAAATAAATAAAATAAAGGTATTGTGTCCACCTAAAGCTAAAAAATAATTAAACATTTTAAAAAAGGCTGAGCAAAGGGCTTCGGGGCCCTTCATTGCTGGAAGAGCAGAGAGTAGAGCGGCTCAAGCTCAGCATAATTATTAAGGTCAGTGAGGACTCAAGGCCCAGCTGCCTGAGGGATGGGCTTTTCTGATGACTCTTTGTGATATCCAGTTCTGCTGTATCTCCTCCTCACCACGCAAGGTATCATTGCAAACCCTGGCTCCTGCACTACATCATCACCCACAGGCTGGTTCTTATATGACATCAGAACAACTGCTTGCATGCCAGGAATGCATGTGGTGACATTCCCATAGTAGGGCCTGCTTTAAGGGACAAAGAGGTACTGGGGACTGAATTAGAACAAGATATATTCCATGGGTTCAGTATGTCTCTGGAAATTTTGAACCCATTAACAAAAGAGGCAGGATGGACACTCTCCAGCAAGGAGTGATTGATTACAGCCCAAAGCACAGCCCAGGGGTTCAGATCATCCTCTCAAGTGGGTCACTGTGGCCAGCTGCAGAGACTCCACCCACTTCTGGAACTCCACATATGTAGTTCACTCTGGTCTGTATGAAGGCTGGAGTTGACTCTGAGGATTGCACACACGTATGTGGGTCATCTGGCTTCTGCTCCGCCAGCGGCTGTTTATGAGGGCAGGTGTCTTCTCCAGGTGGGCCACACATGTTGCTGCTGCTGCACCGTGGAGGGCAGGTGCTTCAGGCAGCTCTGGTTAAGCATCTCATCTTTGAGCCTCTCCAGGTGCACCATCTCCTTCAAGACTCCATGAACACTAGTGCACAACGCCCTGGGAGCAGGCTGCAGCATACCCCAGGCCTCAGAACTGAAATCCAGGTCCTTCCTAGAGCTGGAGGCAGGTTCCCTGTTCCTAAGTCTCCACCCTCTTCTGCCCCCACTTAATGCCCCTCAGCAGATGCTCCATGTAACCCATCCTGTTGGCCACTCTCAGACCAAGCCTTCCTAGTGAAAACACCCATCACCAAGGGATGGTGTGATGATAGCATCAGATGTCACAATCAGGAGCACTCACCCTGGTTGTGGTCTGCATCCCCACACACCAGCCTGCCTGGAGATGAGGCCACAAGGGCACCAAATAGACGTGGATCCAGGTCTGACCCTCTCCCCAAAGAGGACTGTGATGGAGAAGGAGGGGAGAAAGAAGGCAGAATTAATAAGATTAGGGGTCAAGAAATCAGGGAAACCTGGAGTCCAGTGAGACACAAAAACCCTCTGTAAGTCCCACATAGATCAGATCTCACTATTTTCTGATCCTTTCTTAGGAGACCTTGTCAGTGTCCAGGGATCATGAAAAAAATAATAATAGCCCAACCCAAACTCAACAGTTATTTTGAAGTTACTAACAAGGAACTCATAATTGCCTTATTAATTAGCAAGCGTGAAGAGTTTTTCAGCAATTTCCTGGGCTCCCCAGGCCTGCACTGTCAATGCCTCTCCAGGTAAAGTGGTAATTGTGCCCTGAGGGGAAGAGGGGTCACACAGACCTTTATCTCAGGGTCCAGCTGCTTTCCTCCCTCCATCCTGGCTGTCAAGATCTCACAATGAGCCCACCACCTTGCACACAGGAAACACAGTGAGTATATTCAATTTCAGTCTTTTGTTTCAGAAGAGATAGTAAAGAATTAATCTGAGGATGTGCTGATGTCTGCAGAAACATCCTTCTGGGGTAAAAACAGATTTGGTGGAAAGGTAGACAAGAGAGATGAACAATTTCTTCACTATGATTTCAGTAGTGTCCCTGAACTGATGCCAACTCCACAGGGTTTCTGAAATTATTTAATTAAATAATCACTGAGGAGGTTTATGGGTGGGTAATATCATCAACAGTGAATTCTGTTGTAGAAGGGGCTTGAGTACAGTAGTTAGCAACTAATATGCTCTTCACTCTAGAAAATCATAGAATGTAATTTGAACTGCTATGATATCTGTGTGTATAAAGTCTTCATACGGAGAGTAGGAGAGAAAAGATGAACTGTGAGGATCACCTAATCCTGTGCAGAAACCCAGACCTGGGAGTGTTTCTAGAATAAAAGATCTTTCCCAACCCTACATTGCAATCCATCTACCAGTAACTGAAATATCTCCTCTGAATCCCTGCACAGCGATGGCTGGGGTAATACCTCCCCTGCTAGTCACACAGGGAATGTAACATTATAACGATGAGAACTGGACCATGCTAGTCAGAACAAAACAACTACTGGTAAATTCTCTGGTTTAATAATATTTCAACATTAATTACAATCTCAGGACACTTTCTTTTTTATTTCAGTTCTTTCAGTGCAGCAGAATTCCCATGCTCCAGTTTCTACTGACATATCTCTTGTATGGATGTCCTCCACAAATCCTCCTTTATTACTAAGAGTTTCACCAATGTCACTATCAATGCACAGAACTTTTAGTCTGAAATCTGTGAGAACTTCATTTTTGTCTTATTTGTCATATATTAGTATATCATGTGCCATTGTTTAGGAACAAAGTAATATTTTTTGAACAATTCTCTAATAGATTCCACTATTTTTTATTCCTGGAATGACAAATAAAAAGTCCAGTGGCCCATTTTCAGAATACAGTGTTAGGCTTTAAAAGTAAAGTGACTTGGTTTATAAGAAAGTAAGCTGGCAGGAGAACACAGTGGAAAGTCACAAACAAAAGACACAAGAGTGCAAAAATTGGTGTGTTGGTGCTATTTAATAGGCATTTGTTTTCTAAGACCAAAGAAACATTTTTTGTAATTATACAAAAATATTGTATAATAAAAAAACTATTACACAAAGGCCATTGCTTATCTTCAAAGTTTAAGTCAGAAATCAAATGAGATCAGGTTTGTTGTGTATGATGTGGATGGTAACTGAAGTTCTTTAGTCAACATAACTACTCATTCTGAAATACTAAATGCTAAATTCTTTTTGTGCATTTGCTCCACTTTTTCTTGCTTCTCTCAGTTTATTGTGTCCTGATCATCAAGGCTCATTTTCCCACAAAGCATATGGTTAATTCTCCCAATCAACATGTGCACATTGAGGTCTTTCAATCCCACAGGTGCATGCAATGAATGATTTTTGGAAATGAAACTTTCATTTTCATTTCCAACAAATTATTTTAACATGGGGATCTCACTATGTTGCTCAGGCTGGATTCAAATTTGTGAGTTCCAGTGATTCTCTTACATCAGGCCTACAAGTAGCAAGTGGATACAGGTGCTCACCACTGTGTTTGAGTACAGCTATTATTAATGAGTTATTTTTCTCAGAGAAATGACTGATGCCATAATGTAAAGAACATTGGGCTGAATGAAAGAATGGTCCCCATGAATGTGGCAATAGGACTGATGCTTTTATCACAGAATGTTGTTGGAATTCTAGGAAATTTATCTGTGCTTTATTATCATTTGGCGCTTTCCTGCAATGGGTGCACATTGAGGTCCACAAATGTCATTCTCAGGCACCTAATGATAGCCAACACCTTGGACATTCTGGCTACAGGAATTCCCCAGACAATGACTGCTTTTGGGTTGAAATATTTCCTCAGTGATTTTTCATGTAAAGTTATTTTGTACATGCAGCGAGTGGGCAGGAGTCTGTCCATTGCCATCACCTGTCTCTTGAGCATCTTCCAGAACATCACCATCAGCCCCGTGAATTCCTGTTGGAAAGATCTCAAAGAAAAAGTTTCAAAGTACATTGGCTTCTCCATTTTCCTCTGCTGGATCATGTACATGACAGTGAATTCCATTTTTCCTCTCTATATACATAGCAAATGGAACAGTGTAAACACAACAGAGAAAAGAGATTATGGGTACTGTTCTTCTGTAGATCATGACAGAATCACAGATTTATTATATGCAGCATTGTTTGTATTTCCTGAGATTGTCTTTTCCGTGCTCATGATCTGGTCCAGTGGCTCCATGGTTCTCCTTCTGTACAGGCACAAGCAGAGGGTTCAGCACATTCACAGCATCAAAGATTCCCTCAGATCCTGCCCTGAGTCCAGAGCCACCCAGAGAATCCTTGTCCTGGTGGGCACCTTTGTGATTTTCCACACCCTCTCTTCCCTATTACATCTTTATATTGCTCTGTTTTCCAAACCTGTTTGGTGGGTGGTGAACACCAATGACCTGATTTCACTGTGTTTTCCCACTGTCAGCCCCTTTCTTCTCATGAGCCGAAAATTCACTGTATCCAAACTATTCAGGCTCTGTTTGGTCTGCATAAAAATTTTAAAATCCTGTTGGGTGCTGTGAAAAACACCTATTATCCCCCAAACTTTGGAGACCCAGAGAGGAGGATCACAAATGAAAGGCTAGCCTCAACAACGTAATCTCCTGTCTCAAAAATGAAAAATAATAAATGCTTCAGATGAATCTCAGGGGCAAAGCAATGCTGGTCTCCATTGCCAGTTCCAAATACAATTAAAATTGCCTAATTGTATCAAAAAATTACATCAGTTGCATGTTTTTGCACAAATGTTTAAGTGTTTTATTGTTCTTTACACTAAAAACATCTGTATAGAAGTGGATGGAAGTGTCACTTGTCTTTCTATTGCAAACCCTAAAGAGCACTGTGGTCCTTAGCTGGCTGACTGTGGGACCCACATGGCCATGGTGGAGGGGAACAGAGCTGGTGGTCCTCACCCTATGCACAGCATGCTGTAGACAGCCATCCTAGTTCCTGTTCCTGGAGGCGCATGGAATGGATGAGTTCCCCAGCCCTTCCAGATCAGTTGAATCACATGGTTGACCAAGTGCTGCACTCCTGGAAACATTGTCAGTAGTAAATGCAGTGCAGAAATGAAATGAAGAAAATTTTTTCAGGGGCAAGGAACAGGCAGGCTTATTCAGAATTCTCCTGAAAGGGTTTGATTTCCTGTGTGCAGGGATCCTTGGGTGGGATGCAAACTCCTTTCCTCTGCAGCATCCACCTGGGCCACTCCACACCACCCAGACTGCAGTTGGCCCAGTGGCTCCAGAGCTGCCTGGAGCAAAATACTACTGCTATGAGGTGCCTCAAGGAAGAAAGGGCCTCGTTTCTCATCAAGGAATCACACTTCTTCTGATGGGTTTTATACAACAGTAGCAGTATAATCTCACACGTTCACATTTTGCTACAAATATACACAGGTATGTTGAAATACAGATGGTCACATCCTCACCTACACTTCCCCCCACCCCTTGGAATCTAAGAATTGGACTCAGTGGCACTTAAACACACAGCCACGTCCCTAGCACTGGACCACAATCCAAGCCCTTGACACACTTTTGAGACCCTGGCTAGAGGATGATCATTTCCTTTCCTTGAGCAACTGATTAAGTCCACATTTAAGCAACATCTCTAACTGGGCTCTCATGCTCATGGCTATTAGTCTACTGACCAAATTTCCCAAGAGCCAGGTACAGACAACTAGGAAGGGTCCCTCAATTCCTGATCCCATGAAATTATTCCAACCAGTCACTGCACACAGCGCCTGGGAGCCCTGACAATCCCACCTCCTCACTGAAGCCATCCCACTGGCTGCTACCTGGTCTCCAAGAGCATCTCCTGTGTGGCCCACCTGACCTCTGCTCTCATTTGCAGCTGTACATGGAGAAGATTTCTGCAGTTCTTCTGTCCATGTTCAGTGTGTTTGTCTTTCCATCCAAATAGTCTTTAAATCAAGGAAAACCTATTCAATTTTCCCCCTGGGTCTTTTATCCCTGGCGACATTAACTTCCCTGGAAGTTTTCCACCTCTGTCTTTCAGACACTTGAGCTCATGGTCCCCACCTCCCCACCATATCCTTTGTCCCCAGGACTGCTGCACCCATAGGATCTGAGACCCCAACTGTCTCATCCCCTTAATTTTTGTGCACACTTTGCTCTTTGGTTCCTTAAACCCCCCACTGCACTCAAGATGCACCAGCCCCTGTAGTCCATGTGTCCTTTCTTCCACAGCCATGTCCCTATTACTGTACTCCCCACAGTGCCCAGCCACGAGCCCCCACAACTCATCTAACCTGTAGGACTTCCATTCGCTCTCACAGAGGAACGCAGCTGAACCTGACTCAGGTCAGCTCTCTCACCACCCCCCATCATCAGCAAACACCAGAGCACACTCAAATGCCACATGTGTGAAATGTTGTCCTGGAGGGCTACAGGGGACGTGGAAGGAATGTAAAGAGCAGATGTGACGACCCTCCTGCTGACATCCACAGGCCTGGAGAAAACGTCACAATACTCCACCTCACACTTTAAATATTGACCTTTCTGCTCTGCCACTGTGCCTTATTTTAAAATAGGCTTCTCTCTCTTCCTCTCTCTCTCTCCTCTCCCTCTCCATATCCTCAGGAAACAGGATTACCTTTCTCCCACACTAAGCCAAGTTATCCGTCTTGCAGCACACAACCACAATGGAAACCAAGCAATTCAGTCTGCAGGGATGGGCCAGAAGTTCTATGGAATGGCTATCTCCCAAGTTAACAAGTGAATCTCACACACACGCTCCTCAGGGAGCACTAGAATGAATTTCTTCTTTAAAAACTTCCTGTTGTTCCTGAGGCATAGAATCCCAGCCTCTGGGACAGAAGTCTCCTCTGCTTCTCCTTGGATAGTAAAGCAATAATATTTTACCTTTTTCTCAAAAGGATATCCTAATTTTTACATGGCTACAGTGACAAGCACCAAATTTTGATAACAATAAGGACAGTTTTTTAAAAATATATTCCTGATACACTCAGAGGAAATGAGTGAGTGATTGTGTGACAGAGGGGAATATGACAGTTGTGTTGGTGACAGCATTGTGAGATTGTGTGAAGGTGAGAGTGTGGAAAAGAGTGTATGCAGCTACATGTGTAGTATGGTTGAGTAGGATCATGTATATTTGTGGGGACAGGTGCATGGAGTACTATATATGTAGCATACATTCAGGGCATCTGAGTGGCAAACCACTCCCCCATGCTAGGTGTGTAAGTGGCAAACCACTTACCCTGTAGGCACAGCCCTGGGCGTGAGGCCATGTGTTGCAGTCCCTGGGCTTGCTCCATGGACCACTCCTCGAATGGTCACTGCAGGGACATTGGCTAGAAATTGTATTGGTGGCTGCTTTTAATCTGCTTAGCTTGTAATCTGAGTATACATATAGTAACTGTGCAATAAAATCAGACCTGCTTCCGGCTTGGTCTCCAGAGGTCTTGATTAGTGACTCCACAGCCACACTCTCCCTACCCTGTTCTGTGGACCTCCTCGCTGGGCGAGAGAGAGCCCATGGATATACTCTGTGGTGAAATATACATATGAGTGTTTGAATACAGGGGATGTGTCTGTGTGTGGGGAGTGTGATGTCACAATATGGCTCTAGTCCTTCACTTGCAAATAGATTACACAGCAAAGAATTGGACAACCCCAAAACGATGTTGATACATCAAAGAGGAAAATGAGTCATTAAGATAATTAAAACATTTTGCAATGAATGTGACAAATTCATAGAATGGAGTTCTTCATTCTTACATGCATTTCTGCCCCTAATTGAATCCTCCAAATGCTAAGCATACTCAGATGACCTGACTTCTCCCTTCTCTAATGTCCTAAAACCTCAGAAAAGAATGGAGAGTGGACATAGGTCAATTTTGCAAGCATCAAAGAATTGATTATTGACCATTATATTTTACAGTTCTGCACTGCATATCCAATGCACATCCCTTCAATCTTTCAAGTAGTTTCTACACTTTCCTCCTAGAAGCCTCAGAACACAACCGTAAGTATGCATTTATCACTGGGAATTTGGATTCCAGCTGATAAGCGTAAGTGTGGTGTTACTGCATGTTCTATGCTACATCCTCCTGCTCTGAATCCAAAGTGCAGCTACTAGAAAGTGTCAGAGTGAGCTCCAGGGAGTGGGAATAGTCATGGTCCACACATCTCACACTATAATTAGAATTCTGGGCATGCTCCTTCTCCTCCTAGACTGCACTGAACACAGGGTGAAGCATATTATGTTTGAATATGTAATGTCCCCAAAGGCTCATGTGTGAGACAATGCAGAAGGTCCATAAGGGAAATGATCAGATGATGAGTTATAACCAAGCCAGTGGATTAAGACACTTTAATGTATTAATAAAGTGGTAACTATAGGCAGGTAGGGTGAGGCTGGAAGAAGTGGGTCCCTAAAGGTACACCTTTGAGGTTTGTATTATCCCGGGTGAGCAGAGTGCTCTCCCCCCACCTCTCTCCTCCTCCTTGTGACGTTTTGAGCTGCTATCATCTGTTGTGCTTCTGCCATGATGTTCTGCTCACCTGAGGCCCAGAACTGTGGAGCTGGTGACAATGGCCTATCCCTCCAAAATTGTGAGCCAAAATAAACTTTCCTTCTCTAAGTTGTTCTCCTTGAGTCTTTTTATTACAGTGATGCAAAGGTGACTAAAATCCTATGGCCTATGGACCACTAGACTGATTCTGAAACACCTGACTATAGTCACTTCATAGTTGTTCTCTTTAAAGTAGCTTCAAGACCATTTGAGCTTTTACACTGAAGCATTACTCAAACATTTATGGAAGAAATTTCATTTATATCCTTACAGAATTGACAGTATATGTTCACTGACTGCTTCTAGGAAAAATCCCAAATTTTTATAATATGGAAATAATTATGATATTTTTCTGCAGAACAGTGTCTGTAGCCGTTCATGAGTTGCATATGGGTCACTGTGCATAGAAGCCTAGTGGGTAGAGACATCTGGTGTCTGGCAATGAAAACTTGACACACTTCCTCTGGTCAACTACCCAGGGGACAATGTGACTCTCTATTCCACTCTGATGTGGCCTACATAGCACCTGAGATGGTGTGACCTGCCAAGATGTGTGGGAGGCCATCCTTGCACATGATTTGAGTTATCTCCCTGGCTGGGTGAGAGGCGCTTAGGCACAGCTGTGTCAGAGCTTTCCCCACCCTTCTCAGGTCCGAGGGCTTGTTCAAGCAGAGGCATGTCTGGCCACTGCCCTGAAGACACAATCGTGGCCCCTGACCTTGGGATGCTGCCCCCCTTAACCTTCATTGGATGGGATTTTCCCCAGAATTTTTTGTTCTCCAATAAAAGTTCACTCCCTGGCATGTTCTCTCTCTCTCTCTCTCTCTCTCTCTCTCTCTCTCTCTCTCTCTCTCTCCCTCTCTCTCTCTCCTCTCTCTCTCTTGCTAGCTTCTTCAGTAAACCTCACTACCACAATAGGTGGCTGGAGGCTGAAGCAAGGAAGAGCCATCCTGGATCTGGTTTAAAGGTAATTAGAGTTTTGTCTCTTTAATTTAAAACTCCCTATTGTTTTCTCACGTCTTGAACCTCATTCATGAAGCCGGTGCGAGTCGCGGGCTAAAAAGATGTCAATCAACCTGATGACTGCAAGACATCACAAAACAAGACTCTGCCCTTGAATCCTTATTGCTGCCTTTGATGTACTCCCTTAGATAAACCAACAGAGCCTTCTTTTCCTTATCTAGTTCCAGAGCCCATGGACTATATCTATCAGGGGCTTTGCCTATTGGGAATATATTTCTGAGTATTTTTATTTTGCCACTCATTAATTATTTGAAACTTTATGTTTTAAGAATTTTAGAATCCTCTGGGCAGGAAGAAGAACCACCAATGACACACTGGCCATCA